ACTTCACGCTGACATCTTTGAATCTTCAAGACAATAAACTTGGAACAGAAGGAGGAAAAGCATTCGCAGAAGCACTTTGTAAGAACTCCACTTTGACATCTTTAAATCTTGGATCGAATAATCTTGGAACAGAAGAAGGAAAAGCATTAGCCGATGCACTTTGCAAGAACTCCACGCTAACTTCTTTGAATCTTTATGATAATAAAATTGGAGCGGAAGGAGGAAAGGCATTAGCAGAAGCACTTTGCAAGAACTCCACGCTAACTTCTTTGAATCTTGAACGTAATAATCTTGGGTCAGAAGGTGGAAAATCATTAGCAGATGCACTCTGCAAGAACATCACACTAACTTCTTTGAATCTATATGATAATAAACTTGGAGCTGAAGGAGGAAAAGCGTTAGCAGATGCAATTTGCATGAACTCCACGCTAACTTCTTTGAATCTTACCGGTAATAAACTTGGAACAGAAGGAGGAAAAGCATTTGCAGATGCGCTTCGAAAGAACTTTACGCTAGTCTCTTTGAATCTTGAACGTAATAATCTTGGATCAGAAGGAGGAAAAACGTTAGCTTATGCACTTTGCAAAAACTCCACCTTACTATTTCTCAATATTGGATGGAATAATCTTGGAATAGAAGGAGGAAAAGCATTAGGAGATGCACTTTGCAAGAACTCCACACTATCTTCTTTGAATCTTTATTATAATCATCTTGGAACAGAAGGAGGAAAAGCATTAGCAGATGCACTTTGCAAGAACTCCACGTTAACTTCTTTGAATCTTTTACAGAATAATCTTGGAGCAGAAGAAGGAAAAGCAATAGCTGATGCACTTTGCAAGAACTCAACGCTAACTTCTTTGGATCTTGAACGTAATAATCTTGGATCAGAAGGTGGAAAATCATTAGCAGATGCACTTTGTAAGAACATCACGCTAACTTCTTTGAATCTTACCGGTAATAATCTTGGAACAGAAGGAGAAAAAGCATTAGCTGATGCACTTTGCAAGAACACTACGCTGAAAGAATTATTGGTCGGAGAGTAGTGACGGACCCTAATTTTTACGTAAGGTGATACAAAACTTACATTATTGATGCATTTAGGCATCTTTTTGATGCATCTGCACAAACATTATGAAGACCACGTTAGAAATGTAATTTGGAAATTTCCGTAATGCAACGCACTAGTATAGTATATTAGATCTAGAAATAATATTAATTTGACCGTTAATTTGCATGAATTTGACTGTCGGCTTGTACATATTTAACTGTCTGTTTGCGTAAACTTGGTATACAAAACCTATATTTAAGTTAGATTTGTTTTAGATTGAATTAAAAGAGTTTTACTGATACAAAAAAAAGAAACTTACTGTTAATATGCAATCTTTATAAAATAATTAGGACTTTTTACAAAATAGATGAGCTTATTTTAAATTAGTGTTATCTATATAACAAGAGAACTGCACTATTCTTATTATTATATATACATACATATGTATCTAATTTTTTTTGACATTATTGGCAAGATTAACAATATACCTTCTATATTATATAATTTACTATAGTGGTTATGCTTGAAGTTGGTGGTTGAAACTTCAAGCACTTTAAGTTTTACTAACTAAAATTATTTTTCGAAATTAGATTTTGCTGTTTTGTTAGCAAGTTTATACATAAAAAAAAATTTTCAATTTTTACTTTGTTGATACAAGCAGAATAGAAAAACCAATTATATAAATTTATACAGTCTAATTAAATAATTATTAGACTATTTTTATTCAAAAATTTAAAAATATATAAAGTATTTGTTAAAATAATAACTATAATAAAAACTAAATAAAAATATCTCAGCAACTACTTAACTAAATTATATATTTTTTTTTATAAATTTGTAAAATTTAAATAAAAAAGTTTATCAAATTTGGTTAAATAATTATTAAAGTATTTCTTTTAAAGTTTTGAAAATATAAAATATTTATCAAAATAATTGTAATAATAAAAACTTTAAATAATAATAACTTGATAATTACTTAACTAAATTCTATAAATTTTTTTATTTTAATTTTAAAATTTGCAAAATTAAACCAAAAAATTTGTTGAATTTTATTAAGATATTTTACTTAAATATTTTAAAATAACAGCTAAACAAAAACTTTGAATAAAGATATCTCAATAATTATTTATTAATTTGATAATTTTTTAAATTTTGATTTTAGAATTAAAATTAAAAAATTATTGAATTTTATTAAATGTTACCAAAATATCTTTGTTCAAACTTTTTACTATAATTATTATTTTGATAGGTACTAGATGTTTTCACACTTGAGCAAAACCATTCAACAAAATTCAGTAAATTTTTTTATGTTGACTCTACAAATTTATAAAATCAAAATAAAAAAATTACTGGATTTAACAGATGATCATGAAATTTAAATTTTATGCATCAAGAATGAAACTCAAATTTTGGATGCTCTCAAGATCTAACTTAATAGATCGATGCTCAATTTTTAATTAGTGGAACATAATTTGAAAATTTAAGTGTACTTATCACAATAAATAAAAAGATGGTCTAGACCATCTTCTTAGTTATAAAGTTGTGTTCATTGGCTAAAATTTAAGATCCGCATCTCGCAATATAAACCTTTAGAAAATTGCCGTAAGAATGACCTCAATTAATTATGATGCCTGTGCATGATCTCGTTTACTAGCTAATCATATTGAGAAATATGATTAAAAATATTCTTAGGGTGCTATCAAAATGTAACCGCGTATCTATCCTGGACAGGTGCTGCACAAAAAATGCGCAGCAAATTCTCGAATTTATTGGCTAACGGCCGTGGATCTGCAAGATTTTGGCCCGCATTACATAATTGTTTACTAATTTATGGCCGGAATTAACTTTTTAAAAAAATTTTCCTTGTGGATTTTGTTGTATTGTTGCCTTTTCTGACCATATTCCAAATTCTAACCCAAAAATGAATGATGATTTTAGCTTAAACATTTGTTTTCCGAGTATCACATGATGATAAAATCAACCTTACTTGGGTGAAATAGGATTTGACTTTCGATAAGACTTTCGACTTTCGCTAAGGATTTCGACTTTCGGTAGGATTTTCGAACTTCAGACATTTCGATAAACCAAATCATGTTCGAAGTTACCTTCGGTAGGCTTTCAATTTCGGCAGATCCCGCTTTTCGGCGCCATTTTCATTCTGGAGCCTCGGGCGAAATTTGATTTCGGAAGTTTCGCCGGCCGAAAGTTTCGGTTAAGGCCGTAACATTGGGCGACACATCACTTAGATGACTACATCTATAAACATATATCAACCATTGCGTTCTATGTCAACTGATACGTTTTATGTTAACTGTGCGTCCTACATCGTTATAACACTTTTGACGTGATGACATGTCAATTGGACGTAATCATACGTCTTCATATATGTAATATATTTATTTTACTGTATTTTTGTTTTCTTCAGTTATAAATTTCGTCCAATCCAAAAAAGTATTTCTAAACATCCAATAGGAATTAGGGAAAAAATTAGTAACCCTTATCTACGTACGTACGTTGTGACGATGAAGATTTATACCAGCCGAAATATGTCGAAATCGGGTCATACTAACCATAAACAACAAACTAACACTACTACAGTATTTAATTCCGACCTTAATAGTGGAAGGTTACGATCGAGGCGTGCAAAGAGTTGGTACGAGTAACTAGGGTCGATTAAAGCCCTATACTACGTCACGGTCTCTTAATACGAAGTCATGGAATTTATTGACTAATTCCTATCGTTAATACATATTTTACTTCTCGGGGGAATTAATGGAACGAACTTAATGGTGTTGTGAGTTCTTAATTCACAGCGAATCTTTGTGTCTAAATATTTTTACATAGTACTAATTTACTGCGGACATTTCTGCCATTACGACCACATCTGTCATATATGCATATCTGTTACGTATTTCTACGTAGCAGATCTGGCAGATCTGCTATTTCTGCTATATTTGACAGATTTGACAGAATCGACCCAGACTACCTCGGTGACGATCTTTGACGAATTTTCCCTCTCAAAACGTGCGTATTTGAACGGTCGTTCATGTTCTGTAATAGATTATGTAAATTCTATTACGTAAGTTACGTCAGTTAAATTTAACTTTAATCTGTGACAGGTTATGCCGATCATCGCTGATTGTGGCCAAAATCTCATGTAAATTAAAAAAATTCGAAATGCACTGTGAAAACAGGAAAATCGCAAATAACTCAAGATTTTACTATGATGACTTCTAAATAAAAGTTTTCAGCACGAAATTTGAGAACATTTTTTAAATATCGAATATTAATTAAATTAAAGCCTGAGCTAAATTCTGATCTTTGGGCTCTTTCGATTTGGTAATCGGCATAACCTGTCACTGCTGTCAATTTAAATATCTTACGTAAGTTACCCGATCCTGCCAATCCCGTCCGCAATATTCCGTCATTAGCACTTAGGCTTAGATGTACGACAGAGAACAATTACAAAATTTTTCGCGTTTTAATGTGTGATGATACTTTATAACAAAATATTATCGTTACTACGCAATTGTTTTAAATATATAAAATATTGACATTTATTTTGAATAAGACAAAAGTTGAAGTGAAGTCTTGAGAGTTTGATCGAAGTTAAAAATAAGTTTACGAATTATCCAGATAGGGCATGAAGACTTTCTTAATAATCGAGACATAGAACGTTTGCTATTGGAAACGTTGCAGCAACTATTTCTGGCCACTTTATTATCAACAATATCGATAGAATCATAATTACAGACCAATATTGTCTGTCACATTACGTTCAGATTGTAAACTATTGCTATTCTTCCATACTTATTATATAATTTATTAAATTTTTTAACATAAATATTACACAATTATATATAATGAATGAGTGTAATTAATTATTTTGATTAATAAAAATAATTTTAATAATATTGAAAGTTGATATTCTATCATATTTTTAAGGTAATTGTCATATTTTTTTTTGAGCATAAACACGTACTCTTGGATTAAAAGATTCAAATTCTATTAATTCATTTCCCATAGTTTTAACGAGTTCATCATATTCATCACTAGAAGCTTCGATTATACTCATGAGTTTTGCTTTCATAGTCACAAGGGCAGTAGTATAATTTTCTTGTGCCTAAGCAACACGAAAAAATGTAAAATTTTTTTGATCGTATAAAAAAACAAATATATTAAATGATTATATTAAACTTTGAACATTACCAGTTTACATAATTTTTTACCATCATTACCATCAAATGTTTTCTTTATTTCACAATGAACATTATGAAGTTGGTCATGCTCTTCTAAAAAGCCTCGTAATTTGTAACAAACAGTTGGATCCAAACCCCGTTCATCAAACATAAGTAATACTAAAAAAAAAACGCATATAAAATTAGAATTTTATACAGTCAAACCGATTTTGGTTAGATGAATTAATATGATTCTTACTGCCATTAATAAGCCTTTTTGTTGCAGGTCCCATAATATTATATTGAAAATCGCATTCCATTAACTAATATATATATATATATATCAAAATTAATCGGGATTTAAACAAATTTTAAATAAAATATTTTTTAAATAAAATATTTATGGAAATAAAGTATACCTCTATATAGCCACCAGGCTTTAATACACGGACTAGTTCATTAACTACGGATGGCCAGTTTTTTCCAGGGATTCCGACATAAAGTATTCGTTGAAATATAAAATCGAATGTATTATCTTTAAATGGTAAAGGTTCTAATACATTTGCTTCAATAAATTCGGTATTTTTAGGTTTAATAAAGTCTGGTTGAACTGGTGAAATGTCAATTCCAATAAATTTTGCTTTCGGATAATTAGTTGCCATTTCGAGTAACCAAGAGCCAGCACCTGTTCTAAAGCAATTATTAAAATAATTATGATATTATTAACTATAAAAATCTAAATCACATAGTAATGCTCAAACAACATGTATATTTTTTTATAATAATTTTGTCGTTAAATATAGGACTAAAGTTAAAATCTAGGAAAATTTTGGAAATTAAAAGTTTAAAAGTTAGGGCCAGAAGTAATATTAGATGATCATTTTTTCTTCAAACATCAAGTATTAATTGCTTAACTAGTCATATTTAAACACTACTGATGTGATTTAGTAAGGCCGATTAATTATTATTATTGTTGCTATTATTATTATTTCTATTATTATTGTTATTATATAATAACCTACCCTACATCCAGAACTTTTGCACCTTCTTTGTTGAGAAGACGATCAACAGGGGCAAGAAAATTACTTTGCCAAACATATCTCTCTATGAAATGCTGTAAATGTAATCTGTCACATTCATCATCATCATTAGGTAAAAAGTATACCGCATTCTTTACATTGTGGAATCTTCTACCAGATTCGAAAAAAAACTTATTAATCCGTTCTGGGTTTGAATCGTTAAAAAGTGAGGATTTACCCTCTCTGGTTTTACTATTGCATAAACCCATCTTGATAGAAATATTTAAGATCAAAATTGTGGTTTTTATTTCTTTCAACATAGACTTATTAATCATTCCAAACTAGGCCATGACTTGCGTAACTTTACACGCACATATCTGTGCTGACAATGATTTTGCAACCTAACAACCATTTTGTTTAGTTTATAAATATTCATGTATTCTAATTCTAACTATCCCCCATTTATAATTTTTTATAATTATGTGGCCCAAACTTTAAAGCCTTGCATTATGTATTTTAGGCCTATACCGAACAGTGGTAACCTCTTACAAACTGAAGGTTGAGTCACACATCTATTTTTAAATAATTATCTGTATGATCTTTATTTTGTCACTGCATACACTTAACTTATTAGGAATTTTTCAATAGAATTTTGTGAAAACGGCATAAAAACTATCCGATCCTTTCACCACATGAGCTATTTAAAATAAAAAAGATTAGATTTAGGTGTTTGGGCCATTGTGGAATGGCGGTGTATCTATAAGTACATAAGTACGTCACAATGTTTATAATTTGAAAGTCCTAACATCTCAGATATATTTAAATGCCATCACTGATTGGACAAGTGAATTACACCAGTATTAATTGTCAGGAATTATAGTTAAACGAGACAACTAGTAGCGAGAAATAGGTTTAACTATTCAAAAGAGTACATGTTTTGTTTAAAATTGATTGTGTAGTATCATATATTTACGCAACAAAGAAGGAATGTAATCCTAAAATTCTGGATTGGAATTTGGGATAAACCAATTTTGCCCAAATCACTCAAAATTTCACTAATGAAGTCATCGCACATTCAGTGCTCCTCAGCCCAACATTTGAAGATTGCCTGTAAAAAAATTATAAAATGGAGGAATACAATATTAAATCACTGCTAATTAAACATACAGTACTTCTACCACAAATGTTCCATGTCCAACCAGTGTCTCTTGTGCCTTGAAGACTATCTATACCCTAATGGCTGATGTTCCTCAAATATTACATGTATACCTTCTTCGTCTTATACAACTCATTTTGCATGTCACAAACTGTCCTATTGCCTTACCAATATAAAAAAATTCGGTGTCAGTAAAATTATATTTTAAGACCAGTTCTAAATTAAAACAAATATGTAGTGACCTGTGACCTGTACCTGTGATACGATCGATGCTTTATCAAGGATAAATTAATGCAATTATTAATTAATTTCACGTAATTATTAATATAACAATTGGTGATTAATGATTTAACGCAATTTACCGCTAATTATAACGATGAGGCGATCTCAAGTTGTGAAACCGGTTTTCGATCAGTTTATAATTTCTGACAAAATCCGGACAAATCCCAAACTTAAAAAATAAAATTATTTACAAAAAATGATCTTGATTTTTTTACGAACATATTATACATAGCTATAGTAATACGACATTGTTTAAATTAAATAAAATTTATTAATAAGTTTGAGATATTAGTTTGGCGAGATTGAGCATGGACAAACTCAAGTTATAATAATTTGGCAAGTACAGGTCATCCAATATTATCAGCAATTTATAACGAAAAAAATCCGAAAAGGCGATTTTCCGTATCACAAACTTGAAAGTGTTGTATATAGTCTATTCTTTTGTACTTGCACTTGTTCTTGTAGTATTGTAATATACTATATTGTTTTCGTTATTGTTCTATTTTTACTTCGGATTTTTTACCGCTCCTAATGAATTGATACGCAATTAGATAATTATGGATATCATCTTAAATGATTAGCCAGCTTATGATTAGTGCCAATCAAATTCATTAATTTATTTTTAATTCAGTTCAATTTTTACTGATCACAATTTTGATTTATGTATGCGATATTCTTTATATAATAAAACGTTCAGTATAGGATTAGAGATAATGAAATTAATTTTACTATAACAAAGTGATTTTATCATGTATTCATTCTGAGAATAGTTTTAATAATTGATGTAACCATTTGCAAATAAATTTGTCCGATAAATATTAAAACTAAGTTGACTTTTCTTAAAAGTTATTTAGAATATGCCAAATCTTAAAATTTTCAAATTAAACTTAGTTATTTTATTTTAAAATTTTTAATTATGAATATTTAAATATATAATATTGTCTAATTGTGAAATTTATATAATTTGACTAATAAAATATCTTATTTTTGTTTTATTTTTAATTGTTATAAATACAAAAATACTTTTGTGATAAATTGGCTATAGAAATTATCTTTTATTTCTTTTTTATATTATAAATTAATTATACAATCAAGTTAAACAGTAATAATTAAAATCCTTTTAATACTAGCACACAGTGACTCTCGACATAATGAACTTTTTGTCAAGATTTATTTATATGATATACTTATTAAAATTTCTTATTAATATTGGGATTATAGTTAATTTCTCTCTAATTGCCCAAGCAATACGAGTTACTGTGCACATCAAAAACGGCACCAACAATCTATAAAGAATAGTTTTTTTTTTGCATTATAAATTACTAATAATTATCAGTAATAATTTTTAGTATTAATTATTAGTAATAATTATTAGTAATAATAAAATATAAATATATTAGATATATATTTATTTAATATATATTTTTACTCAATCTTTATCAAAAACATATCTAATATGCTTTGGATTTATGGCACATATTATATTATATCAAATATGTATATATCAAATATCTGATATTTATGCTTTGAACCTGTGTAATCAGATGGTAGTAATTAGGATATGCACGTACGTACGTACAATGTAGTTAATAAATTATAATTAAATAGGAAATTGACACTTTTATACGTACCCATGTCAGATCCTCTGTACGTACCCAATGAAATTTTAAATTTTATGCAAATTACGTATTTCTTATATGTCAAAAATATTATATCCGATATTACAGCAGAGGCAGTTCCCGATCCAAAGTAAATCCCTCTCGCCTGTGATCGATCACAAACTAAATTATTTATGTTGGATTCAATTGTGATGGATACAGTCTCTCCCAGTTTTGATATACGTGTAACATTAACAGTCTCTGAAATCGGAAAATTATGTGCGAGTAAATTTCTTTGTATTATATGACTATAATAAATTATACCCGGATAACTGGGTAATTTAATAATACAATCTCTACATTTTAAATAATAACAAACATACTCATTGCATCATAATACAGATTATGGCAAGTTCCGACATGAAAATACAGTAGCATAATTTTATTTGTTTCATTTATTTATAACTTGCTTGTTATTAAAATGATATCTATAAAGGATCAAAGTTTAAGCGAAATCCATTTCTATATGTTAATTTGATTAGATAATACTGTTCATATCAGCCCGCACCTTTTCATAATCTGTGTTAATCCCCACACTATAACTATCGCTTTCCTGCTCTTGTATTATGTAGTTAAACAATTTATAAAGATGGAAAATAAATGCTGTATCACTATTCTACCGTACATATCAAGCTTATTACAACGTTTGACAAGTTTCTTCGGAAATTTTCTATTAATTGTCTAGTTAGTTAATTTAGTCAGTCAATGTTACCAGTTAAATTACCACGCATAAGTTAGATCAGCAAGAATTAAACACTTTTGTCCTATGAAAATGGTTCATAAAAGGAAACTTGGTTTATCAACTTAAATAGGGTGATCATGAGATCTCCTTTTAATCGAAAGTTTATTATTCCTAAATTTGTTCTGTCTACATATTCAAATTATATAATTTAGTTAATTACAGAGCTATTGCAATTATGCCATTAATATATAGCATTGCTTTCAGTCTCATTACTGCTATTGTTTTTTATATTGTTATTAATGCTATTGTATAGTTAATAGAAAGGCATGATTTGAGTAAATATCTTATAATAAATCAGAAAAGAACTATAAGGAGACTTTATAGTTAAACCAAGTAGTAAAGGATTATTCCTACTTTAGATTGTGTTTATTATATATAAAGTACAAAAAATAGAAAGAATTTTAAATACAAAGAACCTATATAAATAAAAGAAACAAAAAAATAAGAAAGACAAATAATGAGAAACATAATTCTACTATTGCTGTTAATAAAATAAGAGAATAAAAACTCATATTATTAGTATCAGTTTTTTTCATATATTTATATTTTTTTTTTTAAATATTAATGATGAGGTCATGCTTCTAATTTTATCAAAATTCAATTAAAATTTTTATAAAGAAAAGTTTGCTTTTAAATTACATATAAAAAATAAAGACTTAAACATATAATTTATGATCTAAACCTATAAGAGTAGCCAAGGCTCATCTAGATTTGGGTTTGAGTAATAATATAAAAGAGAAGAGTATAGTATTTAATCCTTTAAATAGTCCAAAAATCAATTTTAGTAATAATTTATGATATTGAAATAGAAGATGAAAGTAGACTAAAAGAATGACTATGAGTTAAGTTAGTAGAAAGTATAGTTTGAGACTGTGCAGAATATAAAATACAATATGGAATCCATATATGTTTGTATATTTGTTGATTTAAGCAAAGAAGAAGTTTGATAAAAAGAGTAGTAGCAGTATGTTAAGAAATAGAAGCATTGTGGATAATAGAAATAAGATCAATATAAACTAAACCAAATAGGATAGAAATAAAAGAAGTTATATATTGTTATAGAACGATTTATTATTATTTTATTATTATTAGTTATTATTATTATTATTATTATATTATTATTA